TTGGTGCTGCAGGGATACGTGGATGCGGACTTCGCCGGTGATCATGATACGAGGCGAAGCACCATGGGGTATGTTTATACCTTAACGTCGACAACAGTGAGTTGGGTCTCACGTCTGCAGAAGATTGTGACTTTATCTACAACCAAGGCTGAGTATGTCGCAGTGACTGAAGCAAGCAAGGAGATGATCTGGTTGAACGGGTGCTTGGAAGAGTTGGATCTGAAGCAAGGAAGAGGAGTTCTCTATTATGATAGCCAGAACGCTATACATCTTGCCAAGAATCCAATATATCATGCAAAAACAAAGCACATCGATGTCAAATACCATTTTATACGCTCGCTAGTTGAAGACGGAAAGTTGCATTTGATAAAGATTTTGGGGAGTCAAAATCCGACGGACATGTTGATGAAGACAGTCACCATTGAGAAACTGGAGTTGTGCGCAACTTCAGTTGGCCTTCACGAGTAGAAGACAAAGGCAGAGCCACACTACGAGGATCAGCGAGATCGCTGGGATATTGATGATTGAAGAATGGATTTTTCTATTGATGATTGAAGAATGGATTTTTCAAGTAGGAGAAGATGCTTGCGAATAAGGCGGAGTTCGGGAGAGCTCATTGATGGTGGTTTGATCTCTAAGTGGGAGATTGTTGGTCTTGAGAGTGGAGACCCAAACCTAGAATCAAAATCAATAATTGCATGAAAATTTAAGATAGGCCATGGGTGTGGTCTGCGCCACACCAGGGTGTGACAGAATCTGTCCTGTCTGCCATGAGGGTAGTCTGCACCACACCAGGGTATGGCAGAATCTGTCCTGTCTGCCATGGGTGTGGTCTACGCCTGTTTGGTGGAAAAATTTTGTAATAAGAAAATAATGAAAGAATTGTGTTTGATTTTATTCTCTCTAACTGCTTAGAAAAAGAATGTTTACAAGTCTCTCAACTCTCAATTACAATTGAATTCCTGATTACAAAAGAGAGGAGAATTGATCTGAATTCTCCCCTTTGTTTAGGTCTGGGTTCTTCACGGTGGCGATGGAGTGCCTCCCTCGAATGCTCGCGTCGAGTTTGCTCTCTGTTGACGATCCGCACGTCTTGATTCACTGGAATGATATCTCCTCCTCACGATTTGACGCTATGGAGAACTTGCGTGGCAAGTTTGAAACTCTTGATGAGTTGATAACTCTGAACGAGTTTGAAACTCTAAGAAAGAGTTGATTTAACCGAAATCGGTTTGTCAGCCAAGGACGAGCTCCTCGTTGCTGAAGTTGAAGATGACCTCCGTTGGAGAATGATGTCGATCCCTTCAGGCCCTTTCTGCTCCAGGAAATTCCCCCTTTGCTGCCAAGTCCCAAATCCAAAAAGCCAGCTCCAACTCAATTGAGTTTCCCACTATTTATAGGGGATTTAGGGGTATAACTGCCCCCTTAAATTTCTCCTCAATGAGGGTATAATAGGGTGTAACTGCCCCCCATAAATCTCTCTATGATATGGTAGTGATCCCCTCAAATCGTGGGGAAAAAACGGTTCTGGAACCGTTCAAATCGTGCTTGAACGAGTCAAACGCTGAAAACAACGTTCTGGGCCCGAACTCTGCATTTTAGACCTGAAACACAGAGTTGGGTCTGTTTTAGGTTGAAAACGCACAGGTCGCACTGCGCAGAAATAAACTCTGCGTTTTGGACCCGGGACGCAGAGTTGGGTTCCGCATGAACTGTGCGTTTTTGGACCTGGGACGCAGAGTTGGGCTCCGCATGAACTGTGTGTTTTTGGACCTGAGACGCAGAGTTGGGCCCCTCCATGAACTGTGCGTTTTTGGACCTGGGACGCAGAGTTGGGCTCCGTATGGACTATGCGTTTTTGGACCTAGGACGCAGAGTTGAACTCTGCGTTTTAAGTCCACGAACTCCGTGTTTTTGATTCTGTAATGTAGAGGCGAGCCTTAGGCGGGCTTGGCAAGTTTCAGGATAAGTCCAATGTTCAAGCGAAGTCCAGTCTTGCAGACGGACTTCAGAACATAACTTTCTGTGAAGAACAAGTCATAACTTTCAAACCGTAAGTCGGAATTGGACGAATTATATATAAAAATCGGCTATCTCGACGAGACGGAGCTGACCAAACTAACCCCATCGGGTTTAGTTTGCTCCGTCAGTTTTGCCAAATTCCTTACGGTTTGAGAGATATCTGCGTTTTGGTTTGAAGAGACCGTCGATTTGTAGTCTCTTTTGCTAGAGCATTGCAAAGATCGTCATATTGTAACCTTCGTCTTGGCTCCTTGAAAATGTGAGAGTCGTCAGATTGTAACTCTCGATGTTGATTGTAAAGGCTGTTGATTAGAGCTTTCATCAGTTGTTGCGAAGGTCGTCAGATTGTAACCTTCATCGATCCACATGAAAGTCTTCAAATTATAGTCTTCTGGAAGCTATCAAATTGTAACTTCCATCATCGGTGTTTGATCAAGCCAAGGAGTTAATAACTCTTAACGAGTGATGAGAATCAGCTATCTGTTGTGATTTTTAGACAGCCTACAGTGCCACACCAGGCTGTGGCAGAGTCTGCCCTGTCTGCCATGGGTGTGGTCTGCGCCACACCCACCATACTAGGGTGTGGCAGACTCGTTTTAGAATCCTAATCTGTTTGGGATTGTGTTTTATTATAAATAGAAACACGTCCCTTTAGGGTTTAAGAGAGAAAAAGAGAACGAAAAAAAGAGGGTTTTGAGTGCTCTTTGAGGTTAGAAATATTAGAGAGAGAGAGAGAGAGGCCAATTGCAAGCATTGTAATCTTCTTCAAGTAAACAAAGAATTGTGTGGTGTGGCTCCCGAGGACGTAGGCACGTTGCCGAACCTCGTTAAATCTGGTGTGTTCTTTCTTGTTTACTTTCCTATAAATTTTTATCTTTGATTTGTGGTGAATTTCTTTCTTGCTCAACTCTCAAACACAAGATCCGGAAGGGTACGGATTTGATTTGATTATTTCAAATCCCCAACAATAACGTTGGTCTTTTCTCTGATGGGTTCATTTTTTAAAGGTTTCTTACAGTAATTTGTTTTCCTTTTTTGACTGATTTATTTGGATAGGTTTGTTATGGGGATGTGCTTATGAAGATTGACTATGTATTTAATTTTTGTTGTCATTTTTCTGACTGCAGAGTTCTTAACAAAATGCTATTGCTGAGATTTGTTATGCCAAGGCTTGTTATGTTAGTAAAAGGTTTAATTTAATTTGATTTTTTTAGCTGGAGAAAAGTCAAATAACTTTCGTTTCAAAATGTTAATTCTTTTTCCAATATTTATTTGAGTAGTAAAAGCTCTTATAGCATGGAAAAACACTAGTTATGGCCCACACTTGAATTGTAACCGATGTTTTAAGTTAAGTGATGTTTGAATTATGGTAAATATGTGATAGTTTAAATGCTTAATTTCTATTTTTGCAATCTTATTGATGCATGTTAAATCATATTTTGCAGCATGGACCAAGTGTCTCAGATTGTGCAATTGAGGACCCAGGCAAAATTTGTGAGTCCTGAAGTTGGGACCGGTGGGAGACAAAAAGGAGGAGACTGTGAAGGATGAGAAAGGGGATTTTGAGTTATGGTTTCTTTTAGTAGGTTCATGTTGATATCTTATTTTGGCTTATTTGACAGTTTGGTTATATTGTATCTATAGCATGTTATCTTTTAAATGAAGGCTTGTGGTGAATCCGGGACCTTCTCCTGTGGATTTTATACTAGAACTCTTTTGTATTGTCTAACTATGTAAGGAAGATTGTGTCTAGTTATGTTGAATGCTGAAGGGATGAAAAACCTATGTTTTTCCAAGTTGTGGTTTGGTTATTTCATGTGCAGCATTTGGGTGTTTGATAGTGTAACTAAGATCACCGCATGAAATGGTTTGCTAATTCCAAGACTCAACTATAGGGGTAAGGTTCACATAAATAGAAGCCTTGGTTGTGTGTTTTTGGGTGATGAACGTTTCACAGATCCAATCAACTAGTGAATAACATCAAACATTATCATCTTCTGCAAGACCATGTGTGGTATGCATATCAAATGATACTGAGATGCTATGAAGCAAGAAAGTCCAATAAACTGCAGAACTGATATATCATGGATACAACAGAACACCCCACAAACAATCTAAATGAGGAATAAGTTTGCTATAACTCCCGTCATGATAGGGTTGCAAAATTCTTCCTACTTTATGATTTATTCTCAGCTTCTTTCATTTCAGCTCTATCAAGTAAATGTTGTATATTATGGCATTCCATAATATTCAAATTCAAATTTGGTGGCACCTACGGATTTCTTGTATAACTAACGATCTTTGGAGGAAAATTGTACTAACTAAAGATACAATATTATCTTACAATCGAATCAAGAACAAGTGTGACAACAGCAAAACGCCATTCTCAACTGCATTTAAATAGATTACCAAACTATAGGCTTCAGTGTACACACACACGCACAAAGAACTGTAATTCTTGTCTAGGAGGTGCCTCTCCGTTTGCACGTCGAGCCCCAAAATTATTCGAGTACCATTTGAACCTAGACACAACCACCAAAGAATGCATTATAAAAAGTAAAAATTATTGCATAATGATAGGATATCTCGTTTTCTTAAAAATGAATCCTCTTATTTAACATAACCCGCATCCCACATCGAAGTGTAACATGTCAGACAGTAAAGTATACCATACAATATCCAAGAATCAAGGGGATTCATCTTCAAACATATAGCAAAGAAACAATTATACATTTTTAAGTAAGCTTAGAGCATACAGTGATGCTAGAATAATCTGTGATATTAACTTTGCCTGGAACACCCCCCCCCCCCCCCCCCCCCCTCC